TTAGCAACAGGGCGCCAGAATGTTTGACGTGGGCGTGGTTACTTCTACTAAAACGACCATCCCTCTTGTACACATGTATGGGCTCAGTCTGGGGTCGTGTGAAAAATGACGTGGTGACTAGGGGTAGGAATCACAGGATAGGCTACGAAAGTTATCTTTGTAGATATCATTCTTTGTGTGAACAGGCCTTTATTGTTTACATTAGGTACACATGCACAAATCAGGATGACTGATAAAAATGAAAGATTGAGAAAGGTATATATATGTTCAGAGTAGCAACCATAACATGCAAATTATCCCAGAATGCAACACACTGCACCTTCCATGAGAAATTAAATTTTTGATCCAACTGCAGAAGTAAATACATTTTTACACAAAATTAAATTAAAATGCAAAAACAATTTTTTATTTCTGTAATGAGTACGGAACGTAAATTACTGAATTAAACATACAAAGTTTATGGTTGCTCTGTTTGACAAACTATTTTAAAAGTATGGCTCCGTCCGAAATCACATATACTCTCTTGAATAGGTACTAGTTTTGAATAAGTAATTCACGACCGCTTAACAAGTATGTTCTATCCACCTTATTCCTAAGCCCCATGACTCAGTAGGGCTTTGCGTGAATTATTGGTGTGATCGCATGATTATCGGTGTGACTTCATTTAAGCTGTAAACAATCAGTGAAAAGGCTAGCTCTATCAATGCAATACGTTAAAAAAAGTGTCACAATGAGATGACATTAATCTACTCACCCTTCAACCATCGAACATTAAAAGGAAATTTAAAAGTGTAAAAGCATCAACAAAGTAGGCTACTTTCAACAGACTACTTTCAACTTTCTTTCAACAAACTACTTTCAACTTTCAAGCGCGAGTCTTTGGTTAAATATCACTGTAGTAGGCTAATATATCTGTATTATGTAACTTATGTTGCCTTAATCAAAAATGTTCATTAACTTCAGCATTATGTAACGGGTACCGTGGCGTCGGCACCCGTGAGGAACAGATTATTCTCCTGTAACACAGGAGAGAAACGAGGAGACAGTGTTCAAGTTCAAGCTCTCTGGAGTAATTTATTCACAATATGTGCATTAAACAAATCTCTGTTTCTCAGAGTCACATTATGTTTCACATATCACATTTTCAATGTCTTCTTAACATTATAATGACTTTCAGTGTTCATGTCAATTCACAATCTGCAATAAAATAAACTTCTCAATTTCACATTCATGTTTACTGACTCTGTATTTTTATATTTCACACTATTCATCAAAAAAGAAATACAAAAACCATAGCAAAATACTTCAATTACTTCTCTTAAATGATTAATCATTTCTATTCACAATATTTTTCCAGTATCACATTAATACGATGCTGTAAATCACTCTCAGAATTATTAATATACTTCAAATATAACTTTAAATATAACTTTAAACCTTATTTAACACATTAACTATTATCAATCGATCTTCAAAACACATATATAGTATGTTAAACAATACTTATTAACCATTATAAAATACCTTCATGTGCATTTGTATAAGGGAAAATGTATATATTTTTTCTGACGCGCTCACAAACGTTACATGTGCGTTTTCAGTAGGCCGCTAATCGGTCGAGCTTTTCTCTCTCGCTTAAATCAACCTCAAAAACAACCTCTGACGAGCATCACTTCTCTAAAACAATTCACTTATATTCACATTATATATAAACACATTTCAGCATGGTTAAATTCAACTTTAAAGTGTTTTTATACATTTACCCACCTGTAACACAGGAGAGAAACGAGGAGACAGTGTTCAAGTTCAAGCTCTCTGGAGTAATGAAAAACTCACGACTCGCACAGCTTAACACCCATCGCTCGACTCTGCCCCTAACGGTCAGGAGTAGCATTGCACACTTCTCTCTTTTTCTTTTAAAAGGAATCACATTACAATAAAACCCTTCTGAATGTTTCTTTTTCCAAAATAACACAATAACATTTTCAAAATGAAACCAATAATTTTGAATATACTTAAAGTACAATTACAATCCTTTTGTGATCGTCACACACTTCCCAGCAAAAAGAAATGGGTCCCACCATTTTCTTCTCTAACTTATCTAACTCAAAAGTCTCTTTTAACAAGCAACTGGAACTGGCAATATATATGGTGTTGCTGGTACCGTATAAGGCATGTATGTAAATAGGGGGTAAAGGGTAGAATAAAGGTTAAGTGGACATGTTGGGGTTGAATAAGGCATAAATGGGTGCAAAGGTTGAGTAGTCTGAGGTACAGGGTAAACAGGTGATTGTAAGTGTGTGTTTGTCACATTAACTGTAGCCTGTGTTGTCTGTGTAGGCTGACCAAGGTTCTCATATGTGAAAATCTGTTTAGGTCGTCGCTCCCGACTTGACCTTCTGACCTGGGTCTGGTTATCTGGCACTGCACTGACTGGAAACTTTTCCTCTTGACTGAACTCTGGATCCTCATCATATCCATCTTGTTCCTCAGGTCCCGCAACAACAAACTGATCTTCATCTTCTCCAGGTTCCTCTATCTCTACGTTTCCCCCAGGTAACGAATCCGTTTCAGGTACGTGGTGCATCCTAAATTCCTCCTCTTCTTCAGCAGGTATTGGAGTTGCCTGGCTCAGAGAGGTTACTGGTCGTTGTGGTGGGGCTACCACAGGTATCTTCTTTATCTTTTCTACTGGTACCCTCAACCAATAACGAGGACCATCTGAGTCTTCTCCAGAATCTGAGTCTGAACCTGATACTTCCTGTGGACTTGCACGTTCTGAGACATTGGTGCGTCGAGTCTGATGTTTCCTTTTCTGTGTTCTCTTTTCAGGAGCATCTTGGCATGGAAGAGCTTCCACCGGAAGGTCATTTGCTAATAACAACAGATTACGGTGTAATGTCCTTGTCTTTCTCTTGTCTCCAAACTCAGGGTAGACTACGTATACTGGGTTATCCGCGAACTGTTCTTTCACAACGTAAATCGATTTCTCCCAATATGACCGTAGTTTTCCTGGTCCACCGCGCTCACCAAGGTTCCTGACCAAGACTCTATCGCCAGGCTGTAGTACCACTCCCCTTGCTTTCTTATCGTAAAGCACTTTGCCTTTGGCACTGGCCTGTTTACTACTCTCGTTAGCAATTCGATAAGCCTCCGACATCTGCTTTGCCCACTTCTTTGCATATCCCTTTGGCGAGTCAGGCTCCGTTTCTTCAACCAACCCAAACAGTAAGTCAACTGGAAGGCGAGGATGACGACCATAAAGAAGGAAGAAAGGTGAGTAGCCTGTCGACTCGTGCCGAGTACAATTGTACGCATGAATGACTTGTGGGATTTGATCTTTCCATCGTTCCTTTTCTTTCTCTGGCAACGTTCTTAGCATCTGGAGTATCGTCCGATTAAACCGCTCCGCCGGGTTCCCCTGGGGATGGTATGGTGATGTTCTCGAATGAAGAATACCTGACAACTGTTGCAACGTCCGAAAGAGCTCGTTCTCAAATTCACGGCCTTGGTCGTGGTGTAACTTTGATGGATATCCGAAGCGGAGGACGAAATCATTAAAGATTCGCTCAGCTGCCGTTTTCCCACTCTTGTTCTTTGTCGGATAAGCTTGGGCGAATCTCGTAAAGTGATCGATGACCACAAGGATATATTCGTAACCCCCACGACTGGTCTCTAGGTGTAGATAGTCAATACACACCAACTCCAGTGGCGAGCTTGATGTGATACTACCCATTGGCGCGCGAACATGAGTAACTGGCTTCTTCGATTTTATGCATGGACATTTCCTCGTGATATGTTCTTCGATCTCTCTAGCCATGAAGGGCCAATAAAATCTCTCTCTGGCAAGATTGAGGACTCTTTCCGTACCGACATGGGCCATTTCATTATGGAGTTTCTTCAAGACAATGTCTTTGTACTTAGCAGGGAGCACCAACTGCCTTCTTTCATTAGCACGCCTGTACAAGAGACCATTCTCCAAAACTAACTTTCCCCATTCATGAAATAGTCTCCTAGTGGCTCCACTAGCCGCTTTCCGTATCTCGTCAGTTAAAGGTGTACCCGCCTCTTTTAACTTGATCATTTCACCGATGGCTTCATCTGCATGTTGTGCCTCCACAAGCTCATCGTGACTGATTGCGGTCAAGTGATCAAATGAGGGGGATAAGTCGGCTTGGGAAGAGATGTTGAGAGCCGCCACCCACGGTACATCTTTCAGTTTGGCTACTTTACTTCCATCCCATATCGCACGAACCACGTCTTCGGTACACTCTTTGGTACAGGACTCAGCATAGGCCTCAATGTTTAAAGGAAGACTCGACAGCGTATCGGCATCGATGTTAGCCTTTCCTGGTCTGTACTTTATGTCAAATCTGAAATCGGAGAGTTCTCCTACCCACCGATGGCCAACTGCATTTAGCTTGGCTGTAGTCATGACGTAGGTCAGGGGATTGTTGTCTGTGAATATTGTGAAATGGGGTGCGTAGAATAAATAATCCCTGAACTTTTCACACACGGCCCATTTCAAGGCGAGGAACTCTAACTTTCCACTATGCAAGTGGTAGTTTCGCTCAGCCGCAGTCAAAGTCCTAGACCCGTACCCAATGACTCTTAACTTGCCATTCTGATGTTGATAAAGAATCGCGCCGAGCCCCTGGTCTGAAGCATCGGTATGTAATACAAAGGGTAAGTCGAAGTTGGGGTATGCTAGCACGGGGGGGCTAACAAGGAGAGATACAAGTCGGTCGAGGGCTTCCTGATGCTCGACGGCCCACTCCACAGGGGTTCTGGATGGTAGTTGTGGACCTTTACTTTTTCCACGTGCTACAGCAGCTTGTCCTGGCTTGACTTGTAACAGCTCATAGATGGGCTTTGCTATCCTTGAGAAGTCCTGAATGTAGGAACGGTAATAGCCCAGGAACCCGGTGAGCTTTCTTACATCTCCCACTGTCTGTGGTGTCCTGCTGGCTAACGACCGCACTGCATCCAGGTCTTTGGGATCAATTCTCACTCCCTGAGCTGACACAAGAAAGACGACCCACATATCTTACTTCTCGTCGGAATAACTCACATTTTTCAGGTCTCAGTTTCACTCCATGTCGCTGAAGAGCTTGGAGTACTTCACGGACCCCTTCCACGTGCTCGTCAAAGGTTTTTGCATAGCAGAGCACGTCGTCAAGGTACGGAAGACAGCAATCATCTCTCAAGGAACTCAACATCTCCTCCATGCTTCTCTGGAAAGCTGCTGGGGCGTTGGAGAGGCCAAAAGGGATACGCACCCATTCATATAGCCCCCAGGGGGTAATGAAAGCAGTGAGGTGCTGGGAGTCCTTGGCGATAAAGCCCTGATGATAAGCCTTTCCTTGGTCGAGGATGCTGAACCAGGAATAACCACCGAGACTATCAGTCAGGTCTTGTATCCTAGGTAGGGGATGTCGATCAGGTATGGTCTTCTGATTCAAGAGACGATAATCGATACAGAGGCGGAGTGTACCGTCTTTCTTTCGGACGCAGACCACTGGAGCAGCATAAGAGGACTTTGACTTCACAATCCAACCTCTCATGAGCAGATCTTGTACATACTCCTTCACCTCTTTGAACAGTGGTTTGGGCACCGAAGAGTAAGCTCTCTGCACTGGAATCTCGTCTTTGAGTGAGATAGACATCTGTAGACTAGGAATACATCCAATATCATGACTGTCTTGTGCAAAAGCAGCCGATTCTTCCCACAGCATTTTCTTGACTTTTTCTTGTTCCTCATCACCAAGGTGGCTGAGGTCCGCAGGCGGCTGCCATAACGCTGGAACACTCTGTTTAACTGGGGCTGTTGCTGCTTTAACGACTGCTACTCTGGGCCTGGGGCTCTCTAATGGATTGTTCTCAATCACTCTAGCCACCGTCTGGACGCTACCAAGGGCTGTCTTCCTTGGTATTGTAACAGGATGCTTCGTGTCATTTCTTACTGGTATTATGACATAAGGTCTTTTTGCAGTCTGTAGTTCTAGTAAGCCCTCCTCAATCTCAAGCTCGGTGAGATGGCCACTGTTCTCGTTAGGTTCAAACAAAAGAAGAGAGTCTGACTGGTCTACAGCGGATGGGACCTGACACTTCACCCAGGCTACTTGTCCGGCTGGGACTGTAGTCTCATAATTACCAGTTCTTATCAACCTGTGATACATAGAGGGTTTGTCAGTCTGAATGAAGTTCATCAGCAGCTCAACTTTCTCAGCAGGAACCGATATTGCGTCAGATAGAAGCGTGGTAAGTGCTGGGACAAGTTCTTTTGTTCGATTTTGAATCACTTCCTCTAGGACATTAAACCCAAGTAGTGGCTGTGCAAGCGGAATGCTACAGATGAGAAAAGGCACCATGATCGACTGGCTAAGCGCACCATTTCCATTGAGACTGACGGCAATAAGGACCCAGCCATCAAAAGGGAGGATTTCTCCATTCACCGCGTGCACTTCCAGCTCTTCTCTCTCATCAAAGATTTCACTAAGCGGCCTAATGGGTGTGTTTGGTAGATACTTCTCTTTCCAGCTTCTATCTATCATGCTCACCTGGGCTCCAGTGTCCAGTAAGGCATTGACTGTCAACCCATTGAGGTCACAACGTGCAAGGGCTTTGGCTCCTATGAACTTGGCCAGACGTCTACTGGTTTGAGTGGGTAAAGAGAGAGAAAGTTGGTTATTGACTTGTTCATCGTTTTCTTTTGGTCTCTGATTAACTGAACTTGTCTCTGTACGACTCTCAAAGCTCCGTACGCTACCCTCAGCACTGTGGGACTGAACGTGAAGCCCGGTCACTGCTTGTCCCGTGGCAGAAACCGGCTCCAGTTTTCCGGACGCTTGGGTTTTTTCAAACAGCCTACCGCTCTGTGACCGTCCTCACCACAGTAGAAACAATGAGTGCAACCTGGGCGGTTCTGTTCGAGGCAATTAGCACAGCTATTTGGTCTGGGTTTCCTTTGATCCACTTTGACTTGGCAATGATGGCAACATTCTGGGTTTTGAATCGGCTGGGGTCTTTGCAGTAGTTCAACTTTATTCATTAACTCCTCTACTTTCTCAGTTAACTGCTGGAGTACATCAGCTTTTGACTGTTTGTCTGGAACATCTTTCTTTGTACTACTGCCTTGTACTGCTGCCGCTTCAAGCTCTGTGCTATTCACACTTATTTGTTTCTGCTTCACAACTGACCCCAAACGTCTCTGTCTCTCATTCTCAATGTTTGTTATCTTCATCATTTGCTTTAAGATCGTCTCGTCAGACACGCTGCTATCAGAGAGAAATGGTTTCAGTTCTCGACGTATGTCGTTATGCTTATGGCTGAGACCCTGATACACGGCGTGGAGGAAAACGTCTTGAACTGTGTTCGCATTATACTTCACCTCTGTGTCGGCGTATTTTGAAGCGAACAGGATCTTTTGTTTGAGGCCTATCACTCGATACAAGAATTGTTGTGGAGTCTCGCCGTCATTTTGTTTTGTGCACATGAGCTCTTGGAAAAGTTCTGTGTTGCTTCGCCCACCTAAATGGGATTGCAGAAAGCCTTTCAGCTCGTCTATCGTCAAATCGTCTTTGTGTATTAGCATGTCTTTAAAGTTTCCCGGTCTAATGGCTCTGAGAACGCCTCTCAATATTTCAGTCTCGCTGAATCGCTCTTTAACACCCTCATCGATTTGTCTGCATATGCTATTGTAGCTTAAATCTGAGCCCTGATCGCCGATCTGTCCACCTTGGATCTTGAACTCGCGACGAAGCAGTGAAAGGTCTCGAAGGGGAATTATTCGGTCGTGTCTTCCATGTGGCGGCTGTTCTGGTGTGGGAGTGTTATCATATTGTTGAGTAGGTTGTAATGGTGGAGGTGTGGGTGTGAGTGAGGATGTGGGGCTGTTTATGTATTGCATGACTTTATTGCTAAGCTCAGCGTAACTAGAAAGCACTCTCTGTAACTCTGTGTCAGCGTTCTGTGTGCTTTTGACTTCAGTAGGTGTGAGTGGGGGGTTGTTCACGCTAACTGCAGCTGTACGAGGAATATTCGAACCACTGGCTGTCACGTTAACGGTTGTCAAGTTATCCGAATCTGTCGCTAGTTGGCCTACTGTTCTGTTCTCACTCAGTACTGGAATTGGCGTTATCTCGTTCACATTCTCCACAACACCTAATTTAGGTTGAGCATAACGAATCTGAATGACATTATTTACAGTATCATTAAGCTCTAACAGCACTGCCATACCTGAATCCTCAGATTCCACCAACATGTCACTGTTCATAAAAGTTAGAATGTACTCAAAGCAACTCTCTTCTTCGCCAACCTGAAGTGTGGATGAGTCCTTCCCTGGCACCGGACCAACTCTCTGGGCTAGTTGGAAAAGTTCATCGGCCGTCAGCATGAGTAGACTTTTCTTGATGCGCCACACCAAGCCTTTTCTCTCACCATCCGCCATGACTGCTTTTCTTTCTTCCCTTCCGTCGGTTGCTCGTCCTGGTCACGCTTTCACTCGCCTCTGCTGGTCTGGTTCCACGTGTGCAGAACAATCGTCACCTCACCGGCACTTGTTCTGGTGAAAGCAGGATCCACGCATCACCCAATCTTCCTCTCACTTCAAGCCTGAAGAGACGTCAGTTCCTGGAACATGTCAACTGCTGATTCTGGTCGTGCTTGTAGCCTGCGCATCTACTGTCATTCCCCGTACTGGCCACCAAAAATCTGTAACGGGTACCGTGGCGTCGGCACCCGTGAGGAACAGATTATTCTCCTGTAACACAGGAGAGAAACGAGGAGACAGTGTTCAAGTTCAAGCTCTCTGGAGTAATTTATTCACAATATGTGCATTAAACAAATCTCTGTTTCTCAGAGTCACATTATGTTTCACATATCACATTTTCAATGTCTTCTTAACATTATAATGACTTTCAGTGTTCATGTCAATTCACAATCTGCAATAAAATAAACTTCTCAATTTCACATTCATGTTTACTGACTCTGTATTTTTATATTTCACACTATTCATCAAAAAAGAAATACAAAAACCATAGCAAAATACTTCAATTACTTCTCTTAAATGATTAATCATTTCTATTCACAATATTTTTCCAGTATCACATTAATACGATGCTGTAAATCACTCTCAGAATTATTAATATACTTCAAATATAACTTTAAATATAACTTTAAACCTTATTTAACACATTAACTATTATCAATCGATCTTCAAAACACATATATAGTATGTTAAACAATACTTATTAACCATTATAAAATACCTTCATGTGCATTTGTATAAGGGAAAATGTATATATTTTTTCTGACGCGCTCACAAACGTTACATGTGCGTTTTCAGTAGGCCGCTAATCGGTCGAGCTTTTCTCTCTCGCTTAAATCAACCTCAAAAACAACCTCTGACGAGCATCACTTCTCTAAAACAATTCACTTATATTCACATTATATATAAACACATTTCAGCATGGTTAAATTCAACTTTAAAGTGTTTTTATACATTTACCCACCTGTAACACAGGAGAGAAACGAGGAGACAGTGTTCAAGTTCAAGCTCTCTGGAGTAATGAAAAACTCACGACTCGCACAGCTTAACACCCATCGCTCGACTCTGCCCCTAACGGTCAGGAGTAGCATTGCACACTTCTCTCTTTTTCTTTTAAAAGGAATCACATTACAATAAAACCCTTCTGAATGTTTCTTTTTCCAAAATAACACAATAACATTTTCAAAATGAAACCAATAATTTTGAATATACTTAAAGTACAATTACAATCCTTTTGTGATCGTCACAATTACGTGATACTATTTCAAAGTGATTTCCGTAATTTTTATTTTTTATAAATTGCATTTAGCTGTGAAAAAAACCTGGCAAGAGACGTGAGGATTTGAGGAGAATAACGAGAGATTCTTCGTGCATTGCAGTGAATTATTAATGAATATCGTAAAATAAATTCTGGAGAACAGACCACAAATGTGCAGTACATGTTGTCCTTTTTAATACTTTTTACAGCGGATTGCAAAGGGAAAAAGGAAATGAATCATGAGGAAAAAAAAGCAGCGACTGAAAAGAGCTCTTGCCATAGATATTCATGTTATAACGTCACGTTAAAATATCAAGTATAGTGTTATTCTCATGATGTCTGAAAATAATTCATGAAGGAAAATTGACAGCTCATCCAGTCAAACTGACGGATCGGCTTTATTTAGGGCAACCTTATGATTTGAAATGATTCGACAGCCTTTTTGAATGGAAGTTCCCCAAACCAGAAGTGCCACCGATAATTCAAAACGCAGTAAAGTCGTCAGGAATAAGATGGATATAGTATGAAAGTGAGTAGTATGAATATATTCGCCATGTTGTCAGTATCATGTGACCTAGTGACCTACCAGTGTCAGTTGCATCGCTTCACTGCCATAGATCCTCTCCGTGGCCTCATGAGGAAAGTAAAGTGTGCATTATGCTTACGCAAATGTATTATCTTGTTATTTGGGTACTTATTTGCCTACTCTGAGGACCGTGAATTCGGACATCTTTTGTCACATACTATTTTTCGCTTAGCTTCTACATAGTAGGGAAGTGTGCGATTTAGGACGCAGCCAAATATCTATCGCGCATTCGCGCATTTAAAGGTCCCCTTCTTCATGTTTTTTTGAAGCTTTGATTGTGTTTACAGTGTGCAATATAACATGTGTTCATGTTTCGCGTGTAAAAAAACACAGTATTTTTCACACAATTTACTTATCTGTACCGCTGTTTTCACTGTCCAAAAAAACAGCCTGATGACTTCCTTGTTCTATGAAGTCCCTCCTTCAGAAATACCTTCTGATTGTGCCAGCTGTTCCTGTGTTGTGATTCGACAGCAGCTTATCGCACATTGCCCAGAAAGGTCACACCTCTTCTCATAAATTGGAGATGCATGTGCAGCTGAAGTGCTTCTTCTCCGTGGGAGCGCAACAAGACCAGTGTTGCCAGATCTCGCGAGACAAATAAGCAACCAGGCCCGTGAAAACAAGCCCAAAACAAGCGACTTTTTCTCATAGATAGACAGTAAAAGAGCTTTTTCTACGGAGCCCCCCTAGGTTCCGGGAAGAGAAAAATAAATAAACTGTGTGCACGGTTTTACAATCCGTGGGGATGGATAGTTTTAAACTGTGGGTACAGATTGTCAATTTACATCCATGTGGACAGATTGTTAACAGCGCAGTTGTGTAAAACTGTGCACAGTACAGTTTATTTTTCTTCAGTAATGAAGCTTGGCTGTCCATCTAGTGAAAAATGTTGGTACTGCGCCCAAATAAAATCTCACTAAAAAGCTAATTTTTTGAGATATCAACCTAAAATTTGGAACACAACTTCTTTAGATTTTTGGCTTACATTTTCTTGCAGTTTTAGAGTAAAATATATTTTGTAATATATATATATATATATATATATATATATATATATATATATATATATATATATATATTATAGAAAATATAAATAATTATATTTTTACATTGTTCATTTTCATAAACTCAAACTTGTATAACTTTTTTTCTGTTTCACTTTCATAATTTCGTAATACTTCACTTCAACAATAATATGGCAAATGTCTTCTTTAAAATAAGACCAACCATAGGTCTATATTCCAAAGCATTCTTGAATTACAACCATTTAAGTTTGGATAGTGATTTTCATGTCTATCTATGCGAAAAAAGGGGGAGTGACAGTTAAAGGATTAAACAATTATTAAACTATAATATCTATATCTATAATATCTAAAATATAATTAATATATAAAAACTCTCCTACAGTCCAGTCACCATCAGTCGCGACGGTCGCAATTCATTTAAACGTCACTCACTGACGTTGTCGTTTTCCTAACCAGAAAAAAAACGATTGCCCTGCTCTGCCTCTGATTGGCTAGTACTCGTTGCCATCTGGGTCAGAGCCAATTAGAAGCAGGATGTGGGTGAGAAAAAACTCTACTGTCTCCTGTGTGTATGGGGAAAGGGGAGGGACAGAGGGAACAGGCAAGACAAACTCCTACGTTTAAATAACATATAGAAAATATCTGCTTGACAACGAGCTGGGAACAAGCCCAAATAAGCAACTACACTTTAGAAACAAGCCCAAAAAAACCGCGACCCGCGACTACCAATATTTGTAAGCGACTTTACAGAAAAGCAAGCCCAAAGTCGCTTATAATAAGCGGACTTGGCAACACTGAACAAGACCACGCACCTTTTTTGTGTATTCCTGTGGGCGGAGATTAGTCAAAAATCTAAAAAATGACTAGTTACGTCATTAAAAAAGGAAGTAGAGTGATGTAGTCCAAACCGGCCGTTCGCTAGCTGTATATGCTTTGAAAGGGTTAAATAAAATATCTCGCTAGGCATTGAACTTTAAGCTTTATAATTTTACAGGTATTATTTATGCTCTAACAGCAACATTAATTACACACTAATTAAAGTTTGAAAAATGGAATCGCGAAGAACGGGACCTTTAATGTTCGCTGCGCCTTTAAGCATAAACTCTAAGAGTCACGTGGTTTCATCCTGTAGGCAGCTTCCTGTATTGAGTTCATAACGGAGAGCTCGGACGCCGCAGATTAAAAAGAATCCGGACGAGCATCCGACTATTGATCATTTCAATAATCAGTTATCAATCTATTATCATTCATACTGCCTGGTCAGACCATTTAATACTATTTTTATCTGATCTAAAGCAGGGTTTGCTGAAGAACTGATTGTGAGTAACGTTACTTTACTGTCTTCTGTTCAGGGCGCATATAACGTTAACGTTACTGGACACAATGAGTGCTAGTCTCGCTTTGATATATCATAAGTCAGCACTTTAGAGTGTTTTGACGCTTTTGGAGCTGCTTGTGTGTTTCAAACGGATGCTGATCACAGGACAGTGAGATTAGATTGTATTTTGACTGGCAAACACCAGAATGCTCATGACTCATGATGACTGCTCTTTTGTTCTGTGTTTTCATTTAACGTTACCCTGTGCAAACAAACACAAATGCTCTTGAAACAGCTTCAGTGTGTGCTGGATGAATAGAGGCTCACTGTCAGTGTGTGTGTGTGTGTGTGTGTGTGTGTGTGTGTCCTCAGAAACAATCACCTGACTGGATGCTGAACTATTGTCATCTGCTGTAGGGACACTGACAGTTGAAGCTCGTGCTCAGGAGGTTTGAGGTAAGAGGTTTTCTTCATCACTTATCTCTCTCTCTCTGTCTGTATGTGTGTGTGTTTACATTATCATAATTATTTGTGCTGAGCTGCATATATCACACTTTGATTTAAAGCTCAAGTCAAAACATGAACAAATCTGAGGGATAATGGCTTACAGAATCATTTTTACATAATGAAAAGGATGAATGAACTTCCTAACTTGTGTTGTATTGTGTTAAACTGTAATTTGCCTAGATAGATTGTTAGGTAGCAGTGTTAATTTGCTATTATTAATTTAATAGAGTATTTATTCATAATTTGAATTAGCTATTATTATTATTATTATTATATTTTCAGTTTTCATGTTAATTTCAGTTCAAAGTTCATTTTAATTGCAATTCAAGTAATTGTGCTTTTGTCATTTTTATTAGTTTTTGTTTAAATATTTATCTTTGGCTTTATTTTGTATTTAGTATTAGTAATTTTAGTGCTTTATAGATAGATAGATAGATAGATAGATAGATAGATAGATAGATAGATAGATAGATAAAACAATGAGTTTAAATATTTGTTTGGAATCAAAGTGTTGGTGTGTAGATTTACATTTTGGTGAAAGAAATAATGTATCAAATTGATCTATTTGGACACCAGGAGATTCAGATGATCTAAAACAGGAATATCAGGTGTGTGTGTGTCTGTGTCCGTGTGTGTGTTTAAGAAGGAAACGCTCAGTCATGTTCATGTGTTTGAGCAGTCAGGCCACAGATTGAACAGAAGACAGAGGAATGTCTGCTATGAAGACTGAAGAGGATGCTAACGGGACGAGCACAGCTAACGGAGGACGAGGAGGAGTGTGTGAGGAGGGCGGCGTCACGGTCCTCAGGTACATGATACATTCAACAATAGCAGCATTTCATGTGGTCGCTTTCTTCCTGTAACAACATGCTTGAATTATGCTGTTATTGTTTACTAAAACTATTAAAAATTATTTTGTTAATGAAATAAAGCTGAATAATATTAGATGACAAACTGAATAAAATAGAAATAAGTTTAAGCTGAAGTACTAAAATTATTCAAATTAAAACTAAAGTAAACAGTAAAGTACTGAAGTAAAAAAAAAACTCATAAGAATGACAGAAATTAACTAAAATAAAAATTAAAACAGAAAAATTAAATAAATAAATATATATATACAGTATATATATATATATATATATATATATATATATATATATATATATATATATATATATATATACACATTATAAAAGTATATCAGTTATACTAAAATAACACTGTTTGAGTGTGTAATAGTTTCATGAACTTAATGTCACCTCAACTCTACAGTCCCACTGATCTATCAGAGATGCTGGCAGCAGGAACCAAAGAAGTTCACGAGAAGGCCGAAAACACCGCGTTTGTCAAAGACTTCCTGAGGGGACGCATCCACAAGGAGCTCTTCAAGGTAAATGGATCAGTCTGTGGTGATGTCATAAGTCATAATGTGGCATATTTCTGATTGAAACATGAGCTGCTGTGATTGGATTGATCCTTTTATCACATTAAACTTTGGATTGGATTACATGCATGATATTTTTGTGGCAGATGATTAAAAGGAAAAGAAATCCCGTACACTTAAAATGAAGGTATTGGAAGGTATTGTTAGCTAAAGCTAAAAAATAAAATGGTAACAATTTACAATAAGGTCCCATTAGTAATTTTATTGAATGCATTAATTAACATTAACTAACAATGAACGACACATTACAGTATTTATGTAAATACTGTAAATGCAAGTTAATAAAAACACTGTTTATTGTTAGCCAATGTCAACTGAGGTAATTAAATAAAATAACATCATTTTATATTAATAATGTGTTAGCAAATGTGTAATAAATGCTTTAGAAGTATTTTTCACTGTTAGTTCATGCTACCTAATGTAGTCAACTAATGTTTACAAATGAGACCCTTATTGTAAAGTGTTACCAATAAAGAGTTACTTATTTTCAAAATGAAACTTATTTTAACTCTTTCCCCGCCAGTGTTTTTAAAATAAAAAAAGTTGCCAGCCAGCATTTTTGATTATTTTCTCACACCTTTCATGGCCCCCAGAATATTTTGTTGTATGAATATCTGAACATGCCATATATCAAAAGCAAGAACAGACCCTCTGCTTTTAAACAAACACCTTTCATTTTATCAACACTTGAATGTGGTTAGAAGACCAGTTTCATGCATGTGTGTGTATTTATATACGAAATAACACAGTACACACACATAATATATTATGTAAACACAAACTTTTATTTTGGATGCATTTAATCGCGATTAATTATTGCACAGCCTTAGTTTTTATTAATCTTGATTTTTCCCAACCTGTGTGTTTTTTCTGGGCGAGTCTGAAAATAAAATGAAAATGAATAAGAACTAAATAGACATATCTTTAAAAAAAAAAACTAATAAAAATGACAAAAATAGGCAACAGAATAAAAATGAAAAGAGAAATTATAAAAACTACATTTGATACTAAAACACCTCTGTACACAGCAAGATAAATGTGTTTAGTTCTCCTTGATCATGATTTCTGGATCTGTGTTTTCAGCTCGGCCACGTGGCTTTATTCTTCACGTACTCCGCCATGGAAGAGGAGATCGAGAGGAATAAAGAGCACCCTCAGTTCGCTCCGCTCTACTTCCCCCACGAGCTCCACCGGCGGGACGCTCTGGCTCGGGATCTGGAGTTCTTCTACGGCGAGGACTGGCAGAGTCAGATCCGCATCTCTCCCGCGGCTCAGCGGTACGTGGACCGCATCCGGCGGGTCGGCCGGGACCAGCCCGCGCTTCTCGTGGCCCACGCCTACACGCGCTACATGGGGGACCTCTCGGGGGGGCAGGTGCTGAGGAAGGTGGCCCAGCGCGCACTGAAGCTGCCGCCCACAGGAGAAGGCCTGAGCTTCTACGAGTTCGACGGCATCCACAGCGCCAAGGCCTTCAAGCAGCTGTACCGCAGCCGGATGAACGAGCTGGAGCTCGACACACACACCAAGAGCAGGGTCGTGGAGGAAGCCAACCTCGCCTTTCAGTTCAACATGGAGGTGAGCAGTGCAGCTGGGCTCTCGTTGCAATTTAAAGGGGTCATATTTTCTTGTTATTATTTCATGCAAGATTTGTTGTACCAACTGTAATCATTTTTTCTAAAGATGGAGGAGTTCACTTAAAGACCAAACACAACCAAAACAAAGGAATCAGTGATTCGGCTTAAAGGATAATTCCGGTATTTAACACTTTGAGTCTATTTTCTAGTTTGTTTTGGATGAACTAGAGTGGTGGACTTAGAAATTTTGACGATGGGTCCTGTCTCGACTTTTTGACTATTTTAGAATCGCCTCTGACCGCTTCAGAGTGGATGTCTATGGGCATGCTCAAACATGTCCTTAAAACAACCCTTAACGTTGGTTTTCAAAACTGTGCAACTCACCGAGTGGTTAGTGGTGTTCGTTGATGATTAAAAACAAATATATCGGCGCAATGTATGCTTTCAATCCGTGTTATTTGCTATAGTGGAACTATTTTTTCAGATACCTCACAACCGCGTATAAACTTCCGCTCGATATTTGAGTCTGAAGCATTAGCACACTCCCGACCACTTGATGGCGACAACCACTTTGCCGCAGTTGCTCAGCTCACGCTTGCCTTCTGAGAGACGGAGAACCGAGCGAAAAGACTACAACCAAATGTAAACAGACCCCTTTCCGTTTCCGGTAGCGCAGTAATATCAACGAGCACTGAGTACTCCAGCAGACATCAATACGATTTTAAAAAATGGCAAATAAAACACGACAGAAAATGTATTTCGCTACGCTACTTGTTTTGGAACATCAACGAACACCACTAACCACTCGGTGAGTTGCACAGTTTTGAAAACGAACGTTAAGGGTTGTTTTAAGGACATGTTTGAGCATGCCCATAGACATCCACTCTGAATCGCTCAGAGGCGATTCTAAAATAGTCAAAAAGTCGAGACAGGACCCATCGTCAAAATTTCTAAGTCCACCACTCTAGTTCATCCAAAACAAACTAGAAAATAGACTCAAAGTGTTAAATACCGGAATTATCCTTTAATAATTCAAAAATCACTTTTCAATTTTTAAATTGTATTTATAATTAACATATTTCATTCAGTTATTATTTTAATAAGCAATTATTTTATTGCTACATTTAAGTACATTTTAAAATTATGAATATATACAGTAAATATATATATATATATATATATATATATATATATATATATATATATATATAATAGCTACACGACAATATTAATAACAACCTGGCTGCGCATCCTGATAGTGTCTTTATAGCAGCGGGGGATTTTAACCATGCTGACTTAAAGACTGTACTACATAAATTCCATCATAATGTGAATTGTGCAACCAGAGGAGATAAAACACTAGATCAGGTGTATACCAATGTAGCTAAGGCTTACAAAGTCAATGCATATCCTCATTTGGGTTTGAGTGATCATGTTTCACTTATGCTTCATCCCCGGTACACTCCCATCATTAAGTCTGCTGGGCCCGAGGTGAAACTCGTTAGAATCTGGCCCAAAAATGCCGTCTCTGAGCTACAGGACTGTTTCTATCACACAGACTGGGATGTTTTTAGAGACCAGGAATTATCAACACGGCAGGCCCTTGATGAGTATACTGGTACAGTTATGGACTATATAAATTTTTGTGTAGACAGGGTTACATATTGGAAAACGATCCATATCTTTCCTAACCAAAAGCCATGGGTGACACAAGAGGTGCGACTGTTGATTAAAGACAGGGATGCAGCCTATAGGTCTGGTGACAGTAGGGCCTACAGCACTGCCAGGAGGGCTCTTAAAAGGGGCATCAAGTCTGCCAAGCAAATCTATAAAAGGAAGATTGAAGCTAATTTTAACACCTACACTGACTCACGACAGGTGTGGGAAGGAATAAGGGCACTTTCGGATTACAAGGGAACAACATCAGCCTTTGTGAATGGTTCATCCACTGTGGCGGCTGAATTAAATCAGTTCTATGCACGCTTTGATAGGGAGAACAAGGATGCTTTGTGCCCCCACTTGCCCTCCCACGACGATATGTCACCAGTCCTGAGCCTTCATGAAGTGAGACTCTGCCTAGGTAACATCAATCCGAGGAAAGCATCTGGTCCGGATGGAGTACTGGGACGGGTGCTAAAGGACTGTGCGTCCGAACTAGCAGAAGTTTTTACCATCATCTTCAACTTGTCACTGTCCAGGTCATGGGTTCCATCATGTTTTAAAGCAGCAACAATTATTCCTGTCCCTAAACAAGCCAATGTCACATGCCTGAATGACTATAGGCCTGTTGCACTTACATCCATCCCTGCAAAGTGCTTGGAGCGGCTGGTCATGAAACACCTAAAAAAGGCCATACCACCAGCTTTAGACCGGTACCAGTTTGCATATAAGGAAAATAGATCACTGGAGGATGCCATTGCTATGGTGCTTCACCTGCTGTTGGAACATCTAGAGCATAAAAACACCTATGCACGGCTGCTCTTCATTGACTTTAGTTCAGCCTTCAACACAATACGGCCAAATACACTTCTGCTGAAATTGTGTAATCTTGGATTGAACAAGTCACTATGTTACTGGATACTGGATTTTCTAACCAACCGCTCCCAATGTGTGGAAATAGGCGAGCACGTTTCTGACACCATATACATCAACACTGGTGCACCTCAAGGCTTCGTGCTCAGTCCCCTACTTTACACAATTTACACACATGAATGCTCCGCTTTTTTTACCACTAATCATGTCATTAAATTTGCTGACGACACAACTGTGCTTGGCCTCATTACAGCCAGCAATGAGAAGGCATACAGGGCGGAGATCGAACTGTTAACAGAGTGGTGTAAGAACCATAACCTGTTACTAAACATCAGAAAGACAAAGGAAATCATAGTTGACTTTCGTAAATCAAACAATCTAGGTCACTCATCCCTCAACATCAATGGAGAGGCAGTCGAGAGGGTGAAACACTTCAAATTTCTGGGTGTTACTATGTCGGAGGATCTGTCCTGGGGCAGGAGCATCAGTACAGCGGTAGGGAAGGCCCAGCAGCGGCTCTTTTACCTGAGGAAGCTGGGAAAAGTGAAACTCCCCCAGAGGCTTATGATAAATTTTTACAACTGTGCAATCCAAAGTGTGCTGACTTATGGGCTGTTGGTGTGGTTTTCTAGCTGCACCACAGCTGAACGACAGTTACTTCAGAAGGTGGTGAAGGCTGCAGGCAAAATCATCGGGACTACCCTCCCGGAGATCTCATCTGTGTACACCGCCCGCTGTCTGCGTAAAGCACACAACATCATAAGAGACCGGTTCCATCCAGCCAACGCCTCGTTCCGCCTGCTGCCGTCGGGCAGGAGGTACAGGTCTCTTCCAGCTAGAACCACTAAAATGGCCAACTGCCTCTACCCTCAGGCAGTTCGACTGCTGAATGAGCACCATTGCGGACTACCTCCTTCCGTTACTTAATTTACACATCTATCATTATTTAATATTACCCAAAAACTGCAATAACTGTGAACTGGACTCTGCATTGTTGCAGCACACATAATTATACATTTTCATTGATTGGTAGCGATCCAGCTTATATGCCCCTTCTCTGTTTATGTGTCACTATGGCCCTTTTTGTGGTGTTAGTATGGACCTTTTCATTCCAACAATTGAAACTTGACTGTGTAGCTCTATAAGTGATTCAACTTGATATTCCCTTGTCTTGGTAGCTGTCTGTTGCGGTGCCCTGTAAACAAACTGTTTTTATATGGTGATCTTCTGCACTTCATGAAAACCACTGTCGATTGTTGCTCTGATGTAATTTCGTTGTACTTCCAATGACAATAAATAATAATAATAATATATATATATATATATATATATATATATATATATATATATATATATATATATATAATATTTCTGTTTGAAAATATTTTTTTACTTGTTATTTAGAAACATCCATTTGCCAGTAAAATATTTTCTAACTTTAATTAAACTAATTTAATTAATTTCTAAAATTGCATTTATTTATTTTGTTACATTTATCTACATTTTAAAATAATTACTTTATACATAGACACACTCACACACACACATATATATAATCAATTAAATTAATTTAAATGTTTTATTCTTACTTTTTTTCTTTTTGAAATAGTTTATTATTATTATTGTTATTATTACCTATTTTATTGTTAAATGGATGACGTTTTCAAACACAATTTTCTAAATTAAATTAAATTTAATTGTTATTATTAATTATTTAATGTCTATTTTGTCAATTTTATATCATATCAATTTTATTTGTTTTTTATTTATATTTTTATTTATTTATTTTAAAATAAAAAAAATAAAAAAAATGTATGTGTATTTATTTATATATATATATATATATATATATATATATATATATATATATATATATATATATATATTGAGAGAGTGTAATACATTTATTTGTTTTACATTTTTCTTTTTTAAATAATGTATTGTTATTATGACCTATTTTATTGGCAGATAGATAAAGCAATGCTTTTTTTCTAAATGAGGTTTAATTAAATGAGACAACCACAATTTTAAAACTTACAAATAAATGAATTGTTTTATTGTTTCATTTTACATTTACATTTAATGAATGTTTTCAGGTTCTGAAAGTTTAATCAATAATATTTTGATTATTCGTTATGAGTCTTTAAAGAATGATGTTGATGACAATTAATTCAATTAATCAGACTGATTAGTTCAGACTGAACTGGTGTCAGTGTGTTCATATCAGTGAGCGTGTAATTCAAGATGCGAGTCTCTCCTGCTCCGTGTGGCTTGAGTTTCATCCGTCAGCAGATGGAGTCCTTTGTCCTCACGGCAGATCACAGTTGAGCTCTGAAATTAAATGGACAAAACGGGGTCAAAACAATGTCTCGCATCTCACCAGCATCTTTTAGGAAAGCGTTTGACTGTGACATCTAGTTGAATGTGTTTATGTTACGCTCTCACTGTCACACACATGACAAAGAGCTTTTCATTAAACGCTTGTCATTTCCTCAGTGTTCACTCATTGTTTCCTGTGATCTGTAACTGTAAACGTCCTTTTCTGTGTTGCGTGCAGATTTTTGGAGAACTAGAGGAGGTTGGAAAGACCCTTCAGGACGATGTTTTGGACGCCGCTCCTGCTCATGGCGAGATACAAGGGGACGTCAGTCAGTGTCCGTACCACGCTGCCAAAACGGGTAAACTTCACCAGAATATTCATCTTCATTGCACCTGAAACCAGGGACTCGCAAACTTTTCTGGCAGCCAAACCCATACAATATTTATGTTAAGTACACCTGAGCTTTTAAGTTGAAACAGCACTTTCACACATTTACCGTTCTTTGAGGATGGTTAATGGTCACATGACATGCAACCAATCAGATCAAATATTAAAATAAGATTAAAATATTGTTACAAATATTTAAATGAAATTGTTATCATTATTAGTTTTAACTGTAATTATAAAAAATGAAAAAATATACTAGTACTGTTGTAAATTACAATTGTACTGCGAAGTACAAAAAACTATATTTAATTATTATAATATATACTTTTGTTTGGGCACAATAGATTCAGTGTTATTTTAGTAATATTGAGATACTATTATAGTTATTCATATTTTGAATTGGTTGTCATTTTTTTTCTGTTTTCATTATCATTTTAGTTAAAGTTTTAGTAATTTTGTTGTATGTTTTTGTCATTTGTATTAGTTTTTTTTATATGTCTTTATAGTTTTTATTATTTTTTAATAATTAATATATTAAAAATATAATTTTATTAATAAATTGCATCAAGTTAAACTAAATGAAAATCAGAAATTGGAACTAGCTGTAATAAAATAAGTTTAAGGTTTTTCAGTTAACCTTTATTATATTTCAAGTAACAAACATGTTTTTAATGTTTCTACTTTAAATTTCAGCCTTTGATTTGATAATTACTCTAATCTATATCGCTTTAATTTCGATTAATTGTACAGCTCTATTCATTTTAATTTTATATTTGATTGTATTTATTATCATTAGCTTTTCATCAACCTCTACAGTTCTCTTTCAAAGCCCCCTTTGGGAAACCCGGCCTTAAACCCAAGCAAACGAGAGCGTTTACATGATTACTTCATTCTCTCTGTTTCAGCTGCCAGCAGCGGATCATCTTACATTTGTCAAGTGGCCATGACCGTGCTTAAAAATCCCTCCGGTCAAGTACTATTGGCCGCCTGGATCGCTGCTCTAGCCGGATTGGCTGCTTGGTACCTGATGTGACCTCCTGTGACCCAATCTTAGTGCATCCCATTTGCCCCCTCGTCCTTGGATAAATGTGATTTAAAATGATAATGTATGAGCACAGACTTTTTAAACGCAGGATAGCATAGGTTATTGTGGCAGCCGTTACTGTTGCACATGTCAGTGTTGATGAAGTTAAGGCTGGAGAAGAGCTGCGGAAATATGCAGAGTGTTATTTTTATAGTTTTATCGCAGTATCGAGTCAGATTTGGTGCAACAAGTCAAATGGGCCGAAACATATTCTACGCAAGTACGTGAACATAAACGCAAGATTGATTACATGCGTCATGTTAATTGTGTTGAATTCTCATTCATCACTATAAGGGGCGCTATAGAAGGTATTAGTGCAAATCGTCTTCTACAGTCAGTTTTATTGGCCCATTTGTCATGCGTGCTTTCAAATGAGATATGCTATGCATACATGCAGCATTTACAAAGAAAAGCAGTACTTCTGCAGGGCAGACTACTGAGATGTAAGGTCAGAAAAATGACTGCCACAACGGTTAATAAAGAAAAGGTTTAGAATGTAAAAGATGGAAGAATTGCACATTAAGGTCATTTTTGTCTAGTTACACAACAGGACGTGTTACAGACATTTAGGGATTTTTCTACATAGTCGGTTTAATGGGCCAGAATGAACAGTTTTTACTAGTGAATTGAGTTTTTCAGTGATGATGAAGATAAATATCTTTTATACATTCATTATTATTGTGTGTACATATTATTATCTGTCATAGTTGTATACACAATTATATACAGTATGTATATATATGGTAACACTTTACAATAAGGTCTAGTGTATGTCATAAATGTATAGACATATATAACATACAAATAAATGTTAATATTTACATTAACCAAGATCAATAAATGGTTTAGTATTTTTACTATATAAGTATTTTAATAGGTTCCTTGAGGTTCAATCATAATGTTAATAGAGGGTTTTTTTTTTCACAAAAAGCAAATATATATATGGAAAAAATATTATTTTCAACCTTCATTCTGACCCTCTGTCTGAAATGATCAGTTTTTAAGGCACGCCCCCTTTAAGGCTTGTCGATATACGCCCACTGTTATGATTGGCTGACGTCATTGTATAGGAAACGGTATCAACGGCCACTCGCTATTGCACTCGAGTAAGTGTTTTAAAAACATTATTCATATAAAACCATCTTTTACAGCATCAGTAATCATTTGCCAGTGTGACCTCACAAGTCCCACACTATCAAAATGAGCTTTTTTTGGAGCTTGATTAAATAAATACTTTGTTTATGAGGAGGATGTTTTAAGCTCTGAGACTTGCAGGATGTTTTAATGGCACAAAGACCTCTTATCAAATTGTCATTGATCTTTTGACATATTTCTCATTTCATGACCCCTTTAACTTATGTAGTTATCTAATGTTAACAAATAAAACCTTATTGTAAAGTGATACTATATATATATATATATATTAACAATAGGCTGATATATCAGTTCATCTCTAATTATCACCAGGGCTTTACTCAAGGCTCTGATGAACAATTGTCAGACATATTAAGTATTTGAATGCAATTTAAACAAGGGAACAATACTGAATTAATTGGTATACTGTATTTGTACAAGCTAGAATTAACAATAGTGTTTTTCTCTGAAGGTGATTCATTGATCCGACTTGCAGTATGAAATTATTAACATTTATGGATGCAATAATTTCTTGAGTCTTCATGCAACTTTTAATCCATATATTTATAGTTTTGTTCCCTTTGACATAAGAGCTAAACCTAAAGATCATTATACTGATGAATAATTTTCTTGAAGAGTGTTTCATGTAATACCAAATGCTGAGGGGCAGAACATTCACAGGACTTTTTGAACCAAAGGAAATGTTACTTTGCATTACTAATCGGATCATAAAACAGACCGGCATATATGCAAAGTGTTTTGCATGAATGGTTGTGCTTGGGTTTTATGCAGATAATTTAATTTGTTGGCTTATTTTGTGTTTTGAATAACTTGACAGCTTATTTTATTAAAGCACTGGGAGACATTGAGAGTGGTGTTGATATATAGTACAGTGTTTTTTTTACACCGTTATTTTGTGTAGTTCATTTGAAATTTCTTTATTATATTCTTTTTAAGGTTTAGAACAGGGTTTTTTTTTTTTTTTTAAATTGTTCCCTTCAGCTGTATGTTCACTGTAATGAGTAATAAATTCACAACTGTGCTGCATTCACTGTTCAAGTTCATGTTTTATTAAAAAAGAAATGTATTTGAATAATTCAGATTTTATGTTAAGCTCTTTGCATGCTGTAAGTTACCTGAGAAAATAGAAGAAAAAAAAACACATATAATTACAATCTAAATCTTCAGATTGAATGAGGCAAAACAATCTGAAGATTAAGAATTTTTGAAATAGTATTTTTGCCAAAGCTATATTGATGTTTCCATACAAAATGTGCTGTTTGAGGTATACAGTTACTATATTATGGAAGCCTAAAAAAAAAGTCAGGCTCTGGTAAATCTTAATTTAAACATAAATAGTAATAGTAAGTCGGAATAGGCTTAATGCCGCGCACTTCCGTTCTGGTGCTTCCGCATTCTTCAGCCAGCTTCAGTACTTCCGGTTCACGGTAGCGTACGCTGTAGCTATGTCGTTTTTTACGCGATCGCTGCAGGACCTGCCGAGTATAACGGCAAACGATGTACATCGGATCATCCAGACCACATCGAAGACACCAACATCAAAAAAGAACAAAGGTTTTAAATTGTATGTGTCCAGCTATATAAACAACTACGAAGGTAAGTTAACAAGCCTCTGTTTTGAGTTTACCAAAAACGATACATTCTAGCTCATTGGCTTTTTACTAGCCAAAGATAGCACAGTGAGGAAGCAACGTTAATAATGTCAGCAGAGTGATAGGTTAACATGAATATTTTGTGTTTCTGAAATGCAATACCCTAACCTCTATGTTAATCACAGTTTCAAACTAGGAGTCAGGAGAGGTCACGGTTAGGTCTGAGTGCTTCAGATCTAAGAGGAAAAGCCAGAAGCCTCACTGTCTGAGTGTAAGGGAAAGTCATCCTGCAGGTTCAGAAGAAACAGGTTCTTTTTTTTGTCAAAATGAAGTTTCTGTGAGCCATATCATTGCTGTGAATTAGATCCAGATAAACACCAACATTGCACTATATGAATCATATGGTACCTGAGATGATATGTGAATTATGAATACAGGGTGTGCCAGAAAGAATGTAAAATGAATGGCTCCCACAGAAGCAAGATTTTGTTAAGAGTTTTTATAATTTTTTCATTACTTATTCTGCACTGCTATTTTAAAATAAGTATAGTGAGATTAATCATGATATATTACATCTGACATGGTCAACTATAGGCTAAATAAATTGTAACAATCCCTGTATCACTTTGCACATTTTAAAGTTCACTAACAGATTTTTGCTAACAGACAAATTTAGTGTGTAAAAGGCTGTCTCTTTAATTGCAGTTGTAGCCGGTACAGTTTTCTAATAAATATTTGTTGTTGTAACAGATTGTGCTAAGGGATTCAAAGCCGGTGGTGTTACTGAGATGCCAGTGTACCTGTGTGGCAGGTACAGCCTTGTGCAGTCATGTGGCAGCTCTACTGTACCAGACGGCGCACTACTCCCAGCTCAGGTTTATATCAGTTCCCCCAGTGTTCAGCTGCACAGAAACGGAACAAAAGTGGCACAAACCAAGGACCATGGTAGCAAGCCTTTTAATGACTCTTTCATTTTATGTATGGATATCTCTTGGATGTTTCTCACATGTTTTTATTTCGTTGCAGGGTATTAAACCTGGTCCAGTTAATGACATGGTCATTATATCAGCCAGACCAAAAGAAAGGAGACTTGCAGAAGGAATCAGGTATGTTGTTAACTATACTAAACACACACAACAAATCCATTTGCACACATACATTTACGCACCCTCAGAAGTACTTACTTGCTCAATCCTTGTGCATCAATTAAGAAAAGTTACACATAGGTCCATGGTGGACAAAAATGTCTGTCAAAAAAATAAAATAAAGCTTGAGGTGGCGCTGTGGAGCGTATTTAACAAGTTTGTATTTGATCACATAATGTTGTCGTCTGCCTCGCGACGTTTGGAATTAGGCTACTCAGATCATGAAAATTATCTTACTAAATGGAATTACTTTTGATCAAATTAATTAATGAATCGGAGTTATCATAATATCACCACCATGATAAATCACATGAAATCCATCCAAACACCAGTCGACTGAGGAAAGACAGCTGCTCATCACTGCATCACGACTGCAGGTAAAGCGTAGTTAGGAGAGAGGAAGCAAGCTTGGCATATGCATGAGACCCAGGGGTGTACTTGCTAGAGGGGCTTTGAGAATGAAGAGAAAAGCCACCATATCTGCTGCTACCACCCTGTGCAGAAACAAAAACTGGTAACGAAAACTGTCCAGGATCTCCTGAAGATGAGCCTCCTGCTGATGACAGGGAAGGAAACAAACTCTGCATTGGCTAGCTTTGAGACGGAGAGCTACCCTGTGATGCAGCTGCACTTGAGGTCTGAATACCTTGTGAAGGCTGCCATCTTTGAGACTTCTGGCTTTGGGACCCAGAAAAGCTTTGAAATGCTTGGCTGGACTGGTCGGCAACACCTTGGGGCGAGGACAACGATACACAATGACAATTATAGGAGGATGGAGACCCAGAGGCAAACTGACTTGTGGTATCTTGAGGCTGGAGTGATCCACCATAGGTGGTGCTTCCCTGCAGGGTGAATGGCTTAGAGGACCCTGACTGGGTGCCATAGCTAGAGGCAATCTGCTTCCGTGAACTCTGGACTGTAGCAGACTGACTGGAGGCACCTTGGGGTGAGAATAGTGATACACTTGGATAGGAGGATGGAGACCCAGAGGCAAACTGACTTGTGGTATCTTGAGGCTGGAGTGAGCCACCATAGGTGGTGCTTCCCTGCCATTTGAAGGGAGCAGAGGGTCCTTCCTGGGTGCCAGAGTTGCCTGTGAAGGTAGAGGTAAACTGCTTCTGTGAACTCTGGACTGCAGCAGACTGACTGGAGGCACCTTGGGGCGAGGATAGTGATACACTTGGATAGGATGGAAACCCAGAGGCAAACTGACTTGTGGTACCTTGAGGCTGGAGTGACCCACCATAAGTGGTACTTCCCTGCAGGGTGAATGGCTTAGGGGACCCTGACTGGGTGCCATAGCTAGAGGCAATCTGCTTCCGTGAACTCTGGACTGTAGCAGACTGACTGGAGGCACCTTGGGGTGAGGATAGTGATACACTTGGATAGTAGGATGGGGACCCAGAGGCAAACTGACTTGTGGTACCTTGAGGCTGGACAGAACCACTGTAAGTGCTACTCATTCCCTGTAAGGCAAAGCCAGTAGAGCCCCCAAACCAAGGAACAGAGCTACTTTTTGACTGGCTATAAATAGCTGGGTGTGATGACATGGGAAAACTCACATATTTGGTATGGGACGCAGGGGCATACAGACCCAGAGTGCCCTGAGGCTTCAGATATAAGCTAGAAGTAGAACTACTACCTCCCTGCACAGGGAAAAAATTACTGGAAGTGAATTGAGTGGCAGACCTGCTCTGGGTGCTTGTAGACACACTAGGTGAACTTTGAACGCTTGTGGACTGGCTAGAAATGCTTTGAGAGAGACTACCCTGAGTGTCTAGAGGTGAAGCAGGACCTGTTGACTGTGAATCTGAACTGCTCTCAGAGCCAAGCATAAACAAGCTGGGAGTGCTTTGACCATTATTAGACTGGCTAGAGACCTCCAAGGGTAAGGGTAGAAGCTGACTGGAGTTGTCTTGTGATTGGGGAGACAAGTCAACAAGAGAGCTAAGCCCTGCCACTTCCCCTTGAAAAGAAGAGCCAGAAGCTTCCAACAAACTGCCCGAACTTCCTGAAAGCTAGAACTATACAAACTGGGGGTACTCTGGTCACTGGTAGACTGACTAGAAACAGATGAAGAACTGAGCACGTTATAGGAGCCTGGGTCATATTGACTCGAGGCACCTTGAGACTGAGGCAAGCCACTGTAACTGCTTTCACCCTGAGGGGAGATGGATTGACCAGAGCCTTCTGAAGCCAGCACTGGGCTACCTTGAGAAGTGTACGTGGCACCTGGAGCAGATTAACTGCTGTAAGAGATGCTCTCCTGAGAGAACACAGGCAAAGTGGCTTCTGCTGATTTAGCACCAGAGGTTTCCAGGGAGCTGGACATGTACAAACTAGGGGAGCTTTGATTACTGGTGGACAGGCCAGAAGTGCCAAGTGTGGCAGGGAAGCTACTTTCTCCTTGTGTAGAAACACTAGTAGTATCTGTAGCGGCTGATCCAGAGGAACCCTGGAGCGATGTCAAACGGCCTGCATACCGTTAATTTAAGGGTAGAGGCAAGGACACTAAAACAGAGCTGCTTGGAGCTGTCTGGGCATGGGACATTGATTCATGCCTGCTGGAAACACTACCTTTAACAAATTGGAGTAAGTTTAACCTTTTCAGGGGTCTGTTAGTGAATAAACTAGAGCCCACTTCTTCAGGCAAAATCCCAGTCACAGGGACCTCTGACACAGAAGACTGGATTGCACGAGGTGAGAAAGTTTTGTCTGAAGGTTGGCCCCACCGGTGGTGGGCATCTGAATGAGCCCCACCTGTGAATTAGACAAAAAGACGACTTGTAGAAAAAGAAACCTCACAATTTAAAATACTTTGTAAGAGAATAAAAAAAAAAAAAAAAAACCACCAAAAACATTAATCTTACCTTTAAATCCACGAGCGTTACTCAAAAAAAGCAGGAAGGGTACAAACAAGGGTAACCTAAAAGTAAATATATAAAATACATAAAGTAAATTAATTATTTGCTGAATCACCCACAGACCGAGATTGATTGAATAAACTCACTGTGTCCACACTTTATCCATGGCAAACAAAAAACCCTGAGTACTCCAAAGCCCCAACATTCACTTTCTCAAACCACCACACAGACACTACAATTGCAAACATATCTAACTGGAGATAAGTGTATTTTATAGGCCTTCATCAGTCCAATTAGGGCAAATAACTAATTACATGAAACATTGTTCACCTGGGAAACTAACTGGCTGTTAAAAGATAATTGATGATTGTTTTATGAAGGCTCTGATTCCCTGTGCTGTTTAAACATTTTAAAGTGTGTAACTGTGCATTGTCTGCATAGGATATTCTCATACACTTTACACAAAATGTGTCTGATCACATCAGGTTGACCTTTATAAATAGTTGTGTTTAATTGTCATAATGTAAAACAAACTGTGCAGAGAGACAATTACTGATATATGGGGTAGGTAAGGTTTTGGATTGGGCACATGCAGAAGTAAGAACAAAGCTCAGTTTATGCTAAATTGGGGGGGAATTTAATGCTAAATTGCATCTAAAAACAATCCTGTACCTTTTACCAACTTAGCAAGTTACATGAATATGTATGTATGTACAGGTCCTTCTAAAGAAATTAGCATATTGTGATAAAGTTCATTATTTTCCATAATGTAATGATAAAAATTAAACTTTCATATATTTTAGATTCATTGCACACCAACTGAAATATGTCAGGTCTTTTATTGTTTTAACACTGATGATTTTGGCATACAGCTCATGAAAACCCAAAATTCCTGTCTCAAAAAATTAGCATATCATGAAAAGGGTCTCTAAACGAGCTATTAACCTAATCATCTGAATCAACTAATTAACTCTAACTACTAACTAATAAACACCTGCAAAAGATTCCTGAGGCTTTTAAAAACTCCCAGCCTGTTTCATTACTCAAAACCGCAATCATGGGTAAGACTGCCGACCTGATTGCTGTCCAGAAGGCCATCATTCACACCCTCAAACAAGAGGGTAAGACAGAAAGAAATTTCTGAACAAATAGGCTGTTCCCAGAGTGCTGTATCAAGGCACCTCAGTGGGAAGTCTGTGGGAAGGAAAAAGTGTGGCAAAAAATGCTGCACAACGAGAAGAGGTGACCGGACCCTGAGGAAGATTGTGGAGAAGGACCGATTCCAGACATTGGGGGACCTGCGGAAGCAGTGGACTGAGTCTGGAGTAGAAACATCCAGAGCCACCGTGCACAGGCGTGTGCAGGAAATGGGCTACAGGTGCCGCATTCCCCAGGTCAAGCCACTTTTGAACCAGAAACAGCGGCAGAAGCGCCTGACCTGGGCTACAGAGAAGCAGCACTGGACTGTTGCTCAGTTTTGCATGTCATTCGGAAATCAAGGTGCCAGAGTCTGGAGGAAGACTGGGGAGAAGGAAATGCCAAAATGCCTGAAGTCCAGTGTCAAGTACCCACAGTCAGTGATGGTCTGGGGTGCCATGTCAGCTGCTGGTGTTGGTGCACTGTGTTTTATCAAGGGCAGGGTCAATGCAGCTAGCTTTTAGGAGATTTTGGAGCACTTCATGCTTTCATCTGCTGAAAAGCTTCATGGAGATGAAGATTTCGTTTTTCAGCACGACCTGGCACCTGCTCACAGTGCCAAAAACCACTGGTAAATGGTTTACTGACCATGGTATTACTGTGCTCAATTGGCCTGCCAGCTTTCCTGACCTGAACCCCATAGAGAATCTGTGGGATATTCTGAAGAGAAAGTTGAGAGACGCAAGACCCAACACTCTGGATGAGCTTAAGGCCGCTATCGAAGCATCCTGGGCCTCCATAACACCTCAGCAGTGCCACAGGCTGATTGCCTCCATGCCACGCCGCATTGAAGCAGTCATTTCTGCAAAAGGATTCCCGACCAAGTATTGACTATTGAGTGCATAACTGAACATAATTATTTGAAGGTTGACTTTTTTTTTTGTATTAAAAGCACTTCTTTTATTGGTCGGATGAAATATGCTTATTTTTTGAGACAGGAATTTTGGGTTTTCATGAGCTGTATGCCAAAATCATCAGTATTAAAACAATAAAAGACCTGAAATATTTCAGTTGGTGTGCAATGAATCTAAAATATATGAAAGCTTATTTTTTATCATTACATTATGGAAAATAATGAACTTTATCACAATATGCTAATTTTTTTAGAAGGACCTGTATACATGTCATGGGGATGGTAGACCACGCTCCGACAGCCCCAACACGGAGTCCCTCCATCCATTTCGGTCAGAGGCTGCAAGTCTTCAATCCTCGACGATGTTCAGACTAATTTTTTCCAGATCCCAAGTTGTTGAACCATATTTTCTTTGGTCGCCCTCTCCTCCTTGTCCCGTGGACGTGGCCGAATAGAGCGACATTTGGAAGTCGTTCTGTTTTCATTCGGACCACGTGTCAAAAGGATCCAAGCCTCTTTGTTACTTTAACCCAGGTGTATGTTTGTTGTACTTCCATGTAGGGATGGGCATCGTTAAGAAATTATCGATATCGATGCCATTGTCGAGTCTGCTTATCGATGCGATTCCTTATCGATTCCCATATTGATTCCTGTACCATTTGCTGAACACTTACAGGGTGGCTTTGAGAGTTGTTGGCTTTAAATGTCTAATTTAAAGTGGTTTTAGAGAAGAAAAACCAAGTGTGCAATATCTAGGGCCCTATAAAATCAGTTTTATTTTTTCACAAATTCCGTTTTTTCCGTTTTAATTTTTGGGAATTAATTTTTTTACCTTTTACTGTTATTTTAGTCATAAAAAGAGTGTGCTTTTAAAGTTAATGATTAAAATGTATACAAATACAATAGGAATGACCTTAAATTACAGACATTTACTGTGTAGCCTTTTCAGGACAAATACTGCATGATGCCACATGACACTGCACTCTTCAAGTAACAACAAAATATGGTTATGAGCTTTAAACTGTCCAGTAAAATAAATTATATTAGTTTATATAAGTTTAAATAAAAGTCACACTCTGTCTCTCTCTCGCCCAGTGTCGCTCGCGGAGTTCGCTTCGCTTTTGTCCAGTCCGGCGCCTCATAGACAGACGCGGTGTGTGTGTGTATGTGCATAGACATAATAAATACATAGACGCCCTATTGGCCGCTGGAGCGTACGTCAACGGCGCCGCCATATTGGGGATGGCAACTTTCCCATACCTCTCATACCGGGAATTGAGAAAAATGCCTGTTTTGTGCGCTGTTTGGGGCTGTACACATCGCCACACAATTGAAAACAGCTTTCGAGGAATTACCTTTCACAAGCAAGACTGAACGTTTGTTTTTGGTTGTATTTGGTCATGATTTAATTAGTAATAGTAACGTTCAGAGGATACATTTAAAAATACTACTGTTATTGTGTCACGAAATGTAGTTTAAATAGTTTTTCAGTCGACAATGTAGTTGTTTAAAGTTCAAATATGTGGTTTGTTTATATAGATAGCGCCTATTTAAAAATTTGATCTGACGTTTTCGGAGTTGTAAGATGCGCTCAGCGCTCGTCTACCCCGCCTGGAACAGCCGTCCCTCGGCCAGTGCTTCTCAAGTTTTCCCGCTGACTCGGATGTCTGTAGTCTAGTGGTTAAACATGAGATATAATTAGTCTTGTGTATATCTAACGGGCGATCTTTGGTCTCATTAATCTATAAATGGTTCCCTGGTAAATCGTTTTGGCTGAGGGCAAAGTGAAGTTTCATAACTTTATATTTAGGCTATTTTAACGTTGGATCCTGCTGTATGTTTGACTGAAGCTACTTCTGTTATAATGGCTATTACTGATCAATAAAACTGAAATTTAACAAAAAGAGTTAAATATTAAAGTCACTATTTAACTTATTTTTTATTGTGTATATTCTGTAATTGATATTTCTTATTCTATTGCTATTATTATTATTAATAAACTATGCTATTATCAATATTTTTATGATTGTATTATTGTACTTATGATATTATATAATTATACTAATCATTACTATTTTATTTGCTGTATACTATTTGTTTATTTTATTGACTAAACTATTTACTATTACTTCTCACTTTATGTTATATTTACTATTTGCATTGCACTGTAGTTGTACCATAACGTATTATCATAAAGGATCCATCAGTTATCTTTGTTATTGCTAAAATCTGGTCAATCACAGAACATGCTTTTTCCACAATAAGAAAACTTAAATTATATCTCAGTATGGGGGTCTTCACCATTCTTATCCAAGAATAAAAAGCCAGATACATGACAAGCCTGAGCTTTGACCATTCTTCATTAAAAAAAAATATTTTACAAGTCTAACTATCGAGATTTTAAATAACTAGAGATGGAACTTTTTGTACACCACATACAAACCACTGAAATCGGTTGATAAATGTAAATACAGTTTGTTTTTATCCAGAAAAAACGCAGCTCACCCGTTTACTTACATTTGATTACAGTGCAGTCTTGCCCTCCGCAAAATGTCTATGTGTATGTGAGAGAGATGTGTGAGTGATAGAGAGACGGATGGAGAGCGGGGAAAGGAAATACAACGGAAAGAATACGCTGCGTGTTTTAAATAGCATAAAAAAAATGAACGAAACGAACGAATGTGGCGGCCGGAGTTGATTTTGTGGCCGCGAATTAGTCTATCTG